GATTTTAATCACAAAGTTTCTTTGGATAGCCATACTTATAATAACCAGGATTCTCTTTATGCTTCATGCAAGGACATTCTGGATTCAAATGACCACAAGGACCATGCATCATATGTTTAACCACTATTTGCCTTAGATATGCATCTTCAACAGGTGGTATTTCAACACACACATATTTATCATAATCATCAAGACACTTAATTTTGAACTCTGGTTTCAATATAATTAGAAAATGAGCATGAGGCAAACCTCTTTTATGAAACTCTATAACATAGATCATCGCAGCTACTTCTCCAAACACCTTTTTCTTTTTAATTAAGTGTTTTAAAGCAAGTACCTTTGCTCTGAAAATCCTTGCAACTAAATCAAGCTTATTTTGTGCTTCTTCTCCAACAGCAAACTCCTGTTTTTTTTCTGGCCAATTAGCATTACATGTCATTATTATGAATAGATCAGGCTTACCATACCTTTGAACCAATGACATTGCATTTAGATATCTTTACTTAAGATCACGAGGAACTCTAATAAATGTTGCAGGTAGTATAACTCTTCTGCCTACATTTGCAGCACAATTTAATTTCACCACAGTCAATAGTATCAAGAAGTCTTGATAAAGATCATCCCTTATTGTCTGTTGATTTTCCCGGAAAAAATCCAATCGTGTGTTTTCCACTTTAACATACATATCAACAATATATTGTTGAAAACATCTACCAGATCTAAGTAATAAATTATTAGGCCGACATTGAAGCTTATATGCGTAGTATTCCCGAGCTGAAATAATACTATCGGTCTTAGATGAACTGCCATTTGCACTTGCACCTACAAAACCACATTTGGAAAAATTCATTACAATTGTATCAAACAACAATAGCAAAACATTGAACTTGATATGTAATAAAACATAATCACATTTTACGAAAACATGCTCCTTAAATCCAAAACACGTAAATGACATATGTCTGGCCTCTTCTTCTAATAAGTCTTCAGTAGTATGCACACTGCATGAAGAAATAGGATCCGATTGAGACTATATCTGCCGTCTTCCACCCTTAGACATTTTCTTAAGGCCCTGGGTCCACCCACAATCACCATATGGAAAAAGTAGTGGATATTGCAAAGGATTATAACAACCATAATTGCATGATCCTATGAGAAGAATCATTTTGACCAGAAACCAATATGCGAGGACTTTCAGATTCACTGGAAAAAGTGCTCTCCAGCCAAATTACTGCAACCTCATCTATTATAGGAGCATTATGAACACGCTGATCCGGAACCGTAGTCTTATTAATCAAAATATGTGTTGATTCAGTGACTGGAATTTCTCGCAAAGATCTAAAAAATCTAACATAAGGATTTATCTAAGAAACCTCCATAAGTATTGCTAACACATCTTCTCTTAACTCTGGAAAAACATCATAGTCGATTAGCCATCTCATGTTGTCCATCATAAAAATAGAGCTGCATATACTTTGGCCCTGCATCTCCTGGAACTAAATTTGAAATATAGTGATAGAATTGCCCATGTAACTTGAAGACATAGATGCCTTTTTTTGTCTTAGCATCAAAATTCCCACCTAATGAGGTAAAAGCAAACAAATTGTTGTATAATTGCACATACTGTCTGAAATGCTTTTCATCTTCATCCATTGAAGTGAACAACCTCACAAGCTGCGAAGGATACTCATTGGTAGCAACTTTGATCTCACCATCACCACAACAAAAGTGAAGAGATTCAAATGCAAATTTTGTATCCATACATCTATGACAATAAGTAGGAGCAGGAAGCTGATAGGTTTCATAAATTTTTTTATTTTCCCAATTATTGCATCAGGGACTTCTACTTGAAATAAACAAATGCAAATAACTACACTAAAGTTTCAAAATTGTAAAAACTAAGAAGAAGAAGTAATAGATAATCAAAATGTCAGATAGTTAATTGTCACTGGATGTCTGGTTTAAGGTTTCTTAGTAGGTTTGTTGCTAGATTCTAGCTCCATGCAATCTGCAAGATAATAATTGCAACATATTCCCAATTAGCTGCATTTTCACATAAATCAGGTATATTTAAATAGTAGATAGTATATATCAGTTTACTTGAATCAAGATTTTTCTATGAATACCTTTGCATACCACCATTAAACTCAACCTGCAAACCTCTTATATGTTTACTCTTACATTCTCTTTATGTCAAGGGTGCTTGTAACAATCGATCTAAATCATAATTAACAAATATTTCATTTATAAGCCACAATCCTTAAACCATGCAAACATAAACTAAACAACTTTAAATACAAATCTTAGAACGCATTTGATCAAACTCACCTATATGCTGCAACACTTGCTGATTCCAGCAAACTCTCTTTTACCTTTTGATGTTTGCTCTTTCTTTCTTTTTTTTTTCTTTTTTTTCTTTCTTCTTCTTCTTCTAAAAAACTCAAAAGCTATGCTTTATAATACCTGAATTTCCATAACATAATAGGCACTAACTTAGTATGTCATAAAATTATAAACTGAATGCAACCAAGTTTCAAACTGTAAATGTATAAGATTTTGACAAGACATAAACTAATTGCAAATATTATTACCAAAAAATACACCAAATTTATTACATCCGATACACAAAACATAACAAATCCTAGAAAATCTACCTCTTTTCATAAAAGAGTTAAATACAAAAGCATAAGAAAACAACCTTCTACATCATGTACATACCAGAAGTAACTACATTCTGCCGATTAAACAAAAAATAACCTAGCTCCTTTTTTTAAAAAGAAGAACTACACAATAAGACATCTAGTCCTTTGAAAACTTTATACGCTTAAAACTAACATCTAAACCTTCTACAACTATAGATCATAGAGAGCGCTTCTTAGAAGGTCTAGCAGGTGTCACAGACAGAGGGACTTGAACCTCCTTTCCAACCGAAGTAATACAATCCTGCTCAACAAGATTTGCAGACGGTTCCAGCTCTTCTTTAATTCCCAACACACGTTCCTTCACACTTAAATAACTTTCCCTCTCCAAAGTATACAATATAGCATCAAACCTACATGTTGTTTCCCTATAATTAGCATCCACTATCTGAATGATAAACACATCAATAAGATAATCAATAGCCTTCCTAGCCAGATTTTGCTTTGTTGCAGATGGGCTTGCACAGTAATCACTAAATAGACAACGAAAGCCTGAACTATTCCTATGGTGAATGACAGTAAACCAAGAAGTGTACTGATCAAGAAGATGCTCAATAGTCTCAATCGGAGTGCACCTCAAATCAATAGACCTTAAGATAGCCCTTAACACATCAAGAAAATCAATAACAATCTTCTTGGACTTGTTTTCAAAGCTATCAGAGACATTCTCATGTATATAAACCTTAGACTCTCCTTTCTCAATACGTTCTAGTTCCTCTTTCTTAAAATAGTACAATTGGCCACTCCTATCATACATTTGCTTTTGTAGAGCAGTTACATCCTTAATAACTATTTCATACTTATTCATAAGATCACACACAGCTTTCCTAGATGCAATTTCATAGGATTACTTTACATTATCAGTATCCCCACCAACATAAACCATGGAACGGAATCACTATCTGCCTTAACAATATCACAAGCAATGCTCCTAGGTTCATCAAGCATTTGGAAATCTGCATCAAGAAAATTCAAGTAACTGGTAACTTGCTTCAACAAAGGGCAAAAAGGCATCACTACTTGTGTAGGAAGAGCATCCATAACCTGTCATTATTTGTAAAACCTTAATATAAGTCCATAAAACCACCAAATATAATTCAGAACACAATTTTTAGCATACTATTTTATAACACAATGAAACTCTCTGTAGAGTCCACAACCCGAGAATTCGACAACCATAAACAAACTCACATAGAACCCAAAAAGATACATGCACACAGCTGATTTAAATAACTCATTCTCAAAACAAAACACACTAATTACAAAGCAATCACAATCCATCGATGCATGTAAAGCAAAAACTTGAATTATTTTCGAATTATCAAATTATGCATAATTTTCAAATCAATAAATATAAATAAATCAATAACATTAATTTAATGTATGTCATGCATAAAGATAAGGCATACATTGAAGACTTGAAAAATAGGTCCTCCAAATTATTTTTTGTTGAAGGAGTAAAGCTAATAATATTATTGGTATACAGCAATGTCAAAGCAAGCAATTTTCAAATAAAAAAATATACTGAAATCAATAACATTATACGGATGCATGTCATACATAGAGATCAAACATCCATTGATCACTTCAAACCAACAAATTCATGCTTATTTTTAACAAACAACCTTTAATCCAAAACAATATCATATATGTCCATCTTCAAGGTCCTTAGTAAATGGTAATGTTCATAGTCATGAGTAGGTAGGATATTGATCCATTGGAAAAGGTAAGTTCTTGGCACAAAAGCAATGCATAGCTATTCAATATAGTGATCGCAAATTCCCTAAATATTAGATGATTAATCTCACTGATTAAGCTTCAACAAACCCCAAAAATATACTTCGTCCAAATTAAATGAAACCTTATATATAGAATGAAATGCAAATCCAAAAAAAAAAAAAATTAAAAAAAATCACCTAAACTATGACCACTACAAACACATGCAATCCTCCTCTTTGTCGCTCACTTTCAATTTAAATTTCCTTTTTTTAAAAAAAATGAAAGGAAAATAGTGAAAGAAAGGGCAGATTCGCAAATATAGTGAAAGAACAAGGGTAAAAGCGACAAATCACTATTCATGAGAACAGTAACACTTATTTCCGCTTTTGAAGGGTTGTTGATAGAACTTAATTAAACTTATCTCCGAATAATGGTCTGTGACTATTAGTGATTGATGAATAACACAAAACCTTACTACGGATCTATTAAGTATGTTTTGTGCACCATGTGATTGTTTGTAAAAAAACAAATTAACTCAAATAACACTTATTATAATAGTGACGAGTAACCCGTAACCAATTTTAGCCTTTTAGGATAGATTGTCTCTATAATTACTTCCCCTCTTGTTCAAAAAAACATAATTATAGAACTCGACTCTCTAGTCTCTACAGCATCAACTTTCTCTCTCACCGGAACGCAATGGCGGGAAATCAAATTTCCGGCGACGGCCTGGCGTCAAACCTCGCCGGAATGTCGAAAAATCAACTTTACGACATCATGTGTCAAATGAAGGCAATTTTTATCTCTCTTCTTCTCTTTTTCTTTACAATTTTCGACCTATTTTTCTTTATTTTCATTGCTAGATTACTACAAAACTAATCAATTAACACTCTTTATTACTGAAACTTCTTTGCGAAATTTTTTGATAATCTTGTTAATTTTGTTGTTTTACAGTCGCTAATTGAGCAAAATCAGCATCAAGCGAGAAAGATTTTGATTCAGAACCCTCTTTTAACAAGAGCCCTATTTCAGGTTTGAATTAGGTTTTTATCAGTTATTTTTGGGATTTTATAAAATTTTATGTTGTTTGTCACCAATTTATAAGCTTGTTATCATTGCATAAAATACTGATTTATCTGGTTATGAGGATAGAAGTATTAATGTTCAATTTCGGGTGAACTGAATTTTGGAGTTGAATACGAGATTATTTGAATTGTCTGGGAAGGTTTTGTACGTCGCTACGAGACATTTCTTTGCAATGTTGGTGAATTGATATTCTTTGAATTTGATTATTGGAGTATCTGAATTATCTGGCATGGTTTTGACCGTTTTGGGGACATGTTACTACGCAATTGGGTGAATTAATGTACTTTTACTCGTACATCATCAACGCGCCTCTCTCCATTGAGGAATTAGTCTTTCTTATTAGCCCATCTCTAATTATATTTGGTATTACTTCTTTAAGATGCTTAAATAGCAAGGAGTGTGGTACTTAATGGTAGAGATAACTTTTTCTATCTTAAATGTGTTACCTTGGAGATATTAGGATTATATTCGATGTTATGTCACGTATTGAAGTGCCTAACAATTTAAGGAAGAAAGAAATGCAATTGTATTGTACTCTGTATAATCTACTAAATTTTCCTTTGTTATGAGAGGAAGGCATGTTTACTTCCACATTCATATGGAGGCCTTGACATGTGAAAATTATCGAAATGGTACAGATCTTTCATAGTGCATTGCTATTGGCAAATGTCATTTGTAGATGACGGGATCATGTAATCTTAAGCATGTAATTAAATGCCTCCATCCCTTGGAAATTACACTCTAATCTATGTTATGTTCTTTCTGATTCACTGTTTCTCTGAGTAACAAAAAATCTTGGGTACATTTTTGTGGAGAATCAAATGTAAAGAGCCCAAAATTTTATCGATATCACATCCTTTTTGGGGTCACTAAGTGACTTTTTGCCCTTTTTATCACTGGAGGAGAGGGGGTGGGGGGGTCAAACTTTAAGAAGTATAGCACCGGCAGTCCTTTGAAAATGTGAGGAGACAGATCAAGGGGAGAGAGGATGCAACTGGCAGTCAGGGAATCCAGTTGAATGAATTGAAAACATTAATTGATACATAGCAAGTCACAACAGTTAAGGCTTTTGGTCACTGGAAAGAGGATTGGTTAAGTGATTTGACAGGAGAAAGTGAATTGATGAGGTGAATGAGAGAGGAAGCTATCATAATCTCCAATCTGTTCTTGAATAATGGCCTTTTCTTTAGCTAGTTGAACTACATTCTTTTCTGTTCCCTTTTTTTTAAAAAACTTTGTTGTAAACATTCTTCAAGATGAGGTTCCATGGTGTATGTCGTTTGCGTATGATATCGTTTTGGAGGATGAAACTAAAGATGGGGTTGATGCCAAATTGGAGCAATGGAGGCAAAGGTTGGAATATAGAGGGTTTAAGCTAAGTCGAAGTAAAACTGAATACTTGGTATGCCGCTTTGGCACAGAGAGGGGGACCAGTGACGCTGTAGTGAGTTTGGACGGAAAGGATTTGACCATGAGTGAGTGTTTTAAATATCTTGGATCGATCATCAAGAAGAATGGTGAATTTGATCAAGACGTGGTCCACAGGATTAAGTCGGGATGACTTAAATGGAGAGCGGCCACATGAGTGTTATGTGACCAAAGCATTCCTTTACCGTTGAAGGGAAAACTCTATAGGACTTCCATAAGACCAGTGTTGCTTTATGGTACAGAATGTAGGGTTTCTAAGAAGAAGCACATTAAAAAGATGGAGGTTACGGAAATGTGCATGTTAAGATGGATGTGCGGGAACACCCTATGAGATAAAATAAGAAATGAAGTTATTCGCAAGAAAGTGGGTGTTGCAAGTATTGTATACAAACTAAGAGAAAATCGTCTGCATTGGTTTAGGCATGTAAGACGGAGACCCAAGGTGCACCGGTACGAATAGTGGAAGAGTGAGATCATGGAGAGGTTAAACAAGGTAGAGGAAGACCGAAAATGACTTGGTTGGAAGGAGTTAGGAAATATATGAAGCATATGGATTTGTATGAGAATGAGGTATTTGATCGTAAGGGATGGAGGAAGAAGATTTTTGTGGATGAATATATAGAATAATCACCTTTGGTTCATGTAGCCGATCCCATTTATAGGATTAAGGCTTTGATTGATTGATCTTTGTTGTAAACATTTACATATACACACGACCATAATCACCATAATAATCAACTGATGTTGATACTGTTTTCGAGCACCAAATATACTATGAGTGAGGTTTCTTGGTTGCATACTTTTAATCCAAAGGTTGGAGTGTGGGTGGGGATGAATAAGGGTATTTTTGTCTTTAGCATTTCTCTCCCACTTGTTAATTTTTGTGCCAAAAAGAAATGTGTCAACTAATAAAGAACGGAGGAGTATTTATTTAGTGGGAAGCTGTAAGTTAAGGAATTCAGTTTACAATACCAAGCAAGTGCTGCAGGAATTTCAATCCAGCACCAATACTTTCTGCTGATATACTGGTTTGAAAGTTTCTTGATCAATAATATTGAGGGAAACTCTCTTACAGTTAACTCTCTAATCCCACACTAAGATGGTAAATGTATTTTCTTTCTTTAATAAGTTATGAAATGGTATTTGATTGTGTAACCTCTACATTATTTCTTATTTCAATCTTTGATATTCTTGTTATGCAACTTTAGCAGTTTGGTATGTGGTGATCTGATGATGCATGACCATTAGATTTTGTGGCTGGTAATTGATGTTAAATTCAGTGTTGGTATAAACTCCAAACAATTCTGCATTTTCATGCATTGTAATTGTCTTCTATATTGATACTGTTGTATTTCTTTCTGTATTGGAGAGTCTTGATTTTGATGTAATTAAGAATATTAGTGGCAGGGTTTTATTTCTGAAGGAATCATGTTTGCTCTTTTACGAATTGCATATAAGTGGAATTACGCACACTAATCTTATCTCTTGGAATAGCTTTTTACTTGAAGTAGTCTTTATTTGCAACCTTTGTTTTGCTGTTGATTCTAAATTTCCATTGCATGCCCCAACAGGCACAAATCATGCTTGGTATGGTGCAGGTGCCGCAAGCGGTAACACTTTTCTCTGTGTACAATTTCTTGCACCTTTAGCTACTTAGTTTAGCATAACTAATAGTCTATGACCCAGGTTCAGAGCAATCAGCCTCAGGCAGCACCGCAACCATCACCTCCTGTTCAGCAAACAAATATCCATGCAGCTCACTCAGCACCTAAGCAAGTTAGTTTGCCGGACCAAGCAAATATATCCCAGGCTCAAGTTCCTGTGAGAAAGCAACAACATAATCAACCTTCATTGCCAATCACGTCAACTCCTATGCAGGGTATGCATTCTCAGTCCATACCACCACAAGTAGTTGAGCAGCATAGGGGTCCCTTGAATACCCACGCAAGCCAAATGCCACATCCGCAGTCTTCTCAAGTTCCTAATATGCCCCCACTATCGATGCATTCTGGATCACAGCCGCCTCCTGTTCATCAACCCCCCATGCCACCTGTTCCTGGCCATTTACAGCAACCAATGCAAACAACTGGTGTTTCTCATCATCAGCTACAACCTCCACTACCTCCACAGCCTAGGCCTCCAATACAGATGCAGTATCAATCACAAATTGGAACAAATGTCAACTTTCAGAATGCTGGCATCCCTCAAATGCACCATTCTCAGCCTATGTATCATGTAAGCTGTAATTTAAGGGGAGGGGGGGAATGTTAACTGTTGGTTACTATGTCTTCATTTTGTGTTTTCTTGGGGGAGGGGGTGGGGATGGGTTGGCTTGGCTTGGCTTGTATTATTCCCTAGCATCTGTCAACGTTGTTATGATTCTACTTCATTATAATTGCTTTCTATTGACATTTCTAGACAAGTAGCAGGCCTCCTACTGGAACTGGACCATTTACTCAAGGGCAACCGCCTCCTCTCCCTCATCAACCACCTCATCAGTCACTCTATCAGGTATTTGTAATGCTCAAATATTCAATAGTGCAATGCTACTAAGCAAGTGATTGTTGTGTTGCAATTAATTGTGTTTATCTTGCTTTTTGTTGGCTTCTATTTGTATCTGGATATAAGTTTTCTATAACAACCTTGATTGCGCTCATAAAATTACAATTCAATCTATTTGGTCATAAGTTATATTATCGACTATGCCTGTAGCCTTTTTAAGCTCTATTGTCTAGCAACGTGTCCCTTTTTCCTCTCTGCATTTTTGGGGTCAGGAAGTGATGTTGGTGCAGTGAGGGGTTGCTAGGTGGCATGTATATTGACACGCAAGGTACTGAACATGGGTGTAGAGTGGAGTGCATTTTACTTTTTGTGTATATAGTGTGTTGTGAAGCATAATTTTGAAGTTGTAAGAGAGGGATGTTGTCCAATAAATTTTTATTACTAAGTTAAAACTTTAGAGTAGTAGAAGCTGTAGAACCAAGCTAAGGGTTTGTTTGGTTTCAAGTAATTAGGAAAGGGAATTATGGAACCTTTCGTTGTATTTCTTCGATTTCCCAGCAACCTTAAGGGGTTTTTGGTTGACACTAATAAGGTAATCCCTCGTCCCATAATATAGTGCCCTTTTTTTTTTTACGCGGTCTTCAAGAAGTGCTTTTGGCCATCAAAATCTTTAGTTACGCAATAACAAAAATGACAAAAAGTTAATATTATAAAACCACACATTGAGACGAATAAAACAATATGCCACATGATTTTGTTTTTTTGTATGTTATTAATGAGAATTTTCAGTCAAACTTTTAAAGTTTGATTAAAAAGATAAAAATAGGCACATGGATGAAAGTGGTATGATTTATCAATTTGGAATGGCTAAAACCCAGGCAAAGTGTTTGGTTTAGAGATTTTCATTTGTAAACCCATACCTCAAACCTAAGGTATGGCATTTTAGAAACCCAAAAGGAGAGGTGTGTGTGGCTCATGATTCCTCTACAAAACTAAGCACATTGGTTGAAAATTCAAGTTTTCTCTTACCACCCTGATTTCATTCTTCATTCCAATCCCATACCACCTTGTGAACCAAATTCCTCCTAATAGAATTACCCTTAACCCCTTATGCCTTTCTCCCCATGAAGAGGGGAGGAGGAGGATTTTCAGCTGGGACTATGTGGATTCTCCTTGGCCATATGCAACTCCACATTCCACCTAGCCATCCCCATTATATCCCAATACCACCACCAAGCTGCCAAATTAGCCAAGGTTCATCTTTGTTATTCCTTATCCAGTGCAAACACCTCCTTTTTAACTTTATACTCAGCTTACAACCCACATTTGTTTCCTCTCTCACCAAGACCCTGTCAATTCAGCGATTTTTGTCTCGTCACCCAACTACAGCCACACACCCTGCCCAACTCCACCTCTCTTTTAGTCATGCCTAAATAACTCCCAACACCACCTCTTAAGGCCAAATAAGTAGACCTGTGAAAAGAAGGGCAAGTGTGTAGGCCTTTTCCTCTCTCTTGCTGGTAAATGAAATTTTGCTGTTTGATTGTCATATCATTCCTCGGTGGTCTAACATCAAATGTCAAGGTCTAGCTGTCTAGGCCCTTTGATATTCAATGTTTGGAACTTGAGAGCGATTACTTTTCAGCAAGTGATACACTTGTCATTTGTTGAGAGAAGTTGTGGAATTGGAATTCACTTAGGAGTTGGCAGTGAATGCAACAAAGACGGCAAGAATGAGGGTGGTGACACGAACGAAGGCTGTGGTTAAAGATGAAAGCAGAGAGATTGTTTGAAGATGATATTTTTTGGGGCATAGTGGACACTTGTAGAAGTGTACTATTATGTAAACCATCATCCTTACAGTAAATAAAGAATAGAAACTCCTTTTTTTCTTTTTTTTTAAAAAAAAAAATTCCAGCCAACGAATTTTGATAAATATGGGTTTTTGATTTATTTCCTTTTGTCTTTCTTGCTTTCCTTTTCCTTTCATCGTAACGGACCATAAAAGACACATCTGGCTAAGAGATACCCACTTACAATTTTTTAGAAGTTGTGAGGTGCACTAAGGTGATAAGCATGGGCATAATTGAGGGATGTGCCATCAGCCATTTTACTGTGTGAGGGACTTTCCAAATCTTATATGGAGTATCAATTCATGTGCCCTTCTTTCGGTCATTAGGAAATTATCTTTGGTTAACTCAGGATTTATTCTTGGTGATTTGGATAAGATTGTGCAAGATATGATGCAGAACTGTATTGCAACCTATAGTAGATCTATTTTATAATGTGATAATACAAAGTCAAATTGAGCAAAAAAGTCAGCTGCTCAGTTAATTTGTTATAAACATGAGTTGAACTCATTCAAACTCATCTTGGCAATATATTTTTTCATGACATACTTTCTTAAGATTTGAGTAATGATCTCGGAAATTTTCCACTGTCTGAACCTTAAAATTTTTGACACTTATCAAGTGTGTATATAGGCTGTATAGACCTTAAACTCTGCTTAGTCTAACTAGTCAAAAAAATCTCCAGCATTGATCAATTCAAAGCTCAATGCATGTACTTATATGAAATTAATTTTTTATAAGAGTATTGACCTGTTTTGTTGAAGAGATTATGATGTAGATTTGGGTTATGTTCTCTTTACTAAAATAAGGTTTGATCTGGTCTGATTTGAAATTTTTGATTTGGCCTGGTGTGGTCTTATCTTGATCTTATCTCCTGGTTTGAAAACTTTGACCGTATTATTTCACTAATATATAAGAAAATACATTATTTTGTGGGATCTAGTCTGAACTGGTTTGATGTTGAAAAAATGAGTAATAAGCAAAGAGAACTTTTGTCTTAAATGATGCATTTCTTCTGCTGAAATTCTATATTTCCTTTCAAGCTTTCTTTATAATTATCTTTCTTCTTGGGTTAATGAAGAACATTAATCCAATATACTGTTTTTTTCCTTTAATTAGAGGTTTCTTGCCGAGCTAGGTTTAGAACTCTTTTAGTTTGAATATGTTGTAGCCTGAGAACATTCTAATCTGAGAGTATCTGACACAATCATGCAACCCATCTGTGCTTGATCTTTCCAAAATTGTAAAACTTGCCTGTTTGTCAATTTGTGTAGAAAATTTTTAGATGTTTGATTTTCATTGTGAGCCAACTTGACTGATTTTGCCTGTATGAGCAGCTTTCAATTTTCCCTAAATAATCTTTTAAAGTAGTAAAAAATTGTGTATTGAGTTTAGGCAAAGTGGCTCTGTATTATTAAACCTCTTTATTTGATTCTTTTTTTTCCCCAGTCAGGAGGCTCACATATGAACGTTGACTTTAACCACCAGAGCGGTAACAAAATGCAGATGGAAAGGCCATCCTCTTGGCCACCTGTTTCTCGAGAAAACACGTCTGGTGCACAGCTTCCTGCACCATCTTTGGGCCCAGGACCACAGCCTGTTGGCAATCAGCCTCATCGTCCACCTCCAGTAAGTCATTTGTAACCTATGCATTTTACATAAGTTTGGTGATTTAGGCATTTACCTATACATTCTTGAAGCTTGCACCTAGTAAATTGTGTTCGGTTTTGCAGTTAACCCCTGAGGTGGAGCAGCAATTGCTTCAGCAAGTTATGAGTCTCACGCCAGAGCAGATTAATCTTTTGCCTCCAGAACAAAGGCATCAAGTCCTTCAGTTGCAGCAGATGCTTCGGCAATAACTTGGACTAATTTACATGTGGGTTTTCAGGTTCTGCCCAGTTATACGTGTAATGGTAAAATATATGGCTAATGTCACTTATTTAATCCAAGTTAATCTCTGTTGAAGATTGTTTTACTAGATTTGCTTAGCTATAGGACTTTTTATTGACTTTTTTTTCCAATTTAAAATGAAGCCTAAAGTTAGCTTCAATTTGAACATTTGGCTACCAGTTTAGCTAGATTTGCTCTAGCTTTCACGAGTGTTGATAACCTCGCTCAAGTTTCAACTTATAGAATTGAATCACCCTCATCTAGAAAGTTCTGGCTCAATTTGATAACCTCGCTCCAAGCTCTCTGCTCTTGCTTTTCTTCGCTTTTCCGTCCAAGATCCTACCAAATAAATACCCAACAATGGTAGCTAGCTCGACAAATACCTATTCGTACCCTTTTCCGCTTTTAAGTTGTTCCATTTCGCACAATAAATTCACTGTCATGCCCACATCGAAAGAGATAATTGTCCAATTGAATTATTAAAGAATGTTGGCAGACTAGGCAGAGGTACATCGCAAAGCGTATCTCCAGGGAGAGCCACCAAGAACATTCTAATTTTCTTCTTTTGCACGGTTCAAGGATCCCACCTTAATATATCTTTTGAGTAGTTAACCTTCGAATACTATATGATTACAAAGTATGTTTGAAAGATTGAGCTGAGAAACTTATCTTCAAGATAAAATATTGCTCTAAGAACATAGTGCAGATACAACACGTTTCAACTAAAAATAATTCGAGGAAATAAAAGAGTGAATTTTATTCTTTTATTGAGAAACATGACCTCAACAAAGGTTTATAAGCAAATTCAACAATTGAAAATAGACTGACGAAACAAAATATTACATTTTATTCTTGTCTTGAGAAATATGACCTTAATATAGATCTATAAGCGAATTAATTGATCGATGATCGTTATGTTTCAAATTTGTAGTTAATTAGATGATTAATAAATTTATCAATATATTGGCCGTGCAAGCTTTCATTAGCAATAACTGGTTTATACTTCTTAGCCTCATCTCTGTACATCTTACCAGCTTCATCTTTGAGCACCAATGTAAGTGATTGAGCCACAGAGCTTCTAGTAAATGACCCATCTTCCTTATTCCTTGGTATTTCTACTCCAACTCTTATCTCCACCATAAATCTCGCATTTATCCCTTGATCCACCATCAATGGTAGCATTATTAATGGCTTTCCGAACATAAGTGTCTCGATGATAGAGCTAAACCCAGCATGTGTCAAGAACCCTCCCACTGAATCATGTTGCAGTATCTTGAGTTGAGGTGCCCAGCTCATCCAAACCAACCCATGGTCTTGAGTACGCTCAACAAATCCGTCAGGCAGGTCTGCAGAAGAACCAGTTGATCTCCTAAATGCCCAAAGGAAAGGCAACTTAGATAATTCCAAACCAAGTGCTAATTCAGTTAGCTGTTCTTGACTTGGTTCAACCTCACTCCCTAGGGCTACATACACTACTGAACCGCTTCTTTGTTTCTTCAGCCAACCAAAAATCGAGTTATGCACTTCATCTTCAGGGCTTTCCTCCATAGAGGGAGGTAGCAATCCCACAGGAAGCACTGTCTTCTCAGCGATAAGTTTATCTACAAGTTGAAGGTATTCACCTTCGAGCTCCAAGCAACCACGTACAACGATCAAATCACTGCTGTTACAAACAGTCTTAAAACGGAATAAATCAGAAACACCTGAAGAAGTCTTCGTAAGGTAGAAAGTAGACGGTGCTTTTCGGAAAGGGGATCCACGGTGGAGGGGTAGTCAGGAATTCAGCATTGGTAAATGAATCAGCAGCAGGACCATTATCCTGACTTAATGGACCTAAGATTGTAAGCATTCTTGCACCAAATACGGAGAAGAAGGCCTTTTGAATTCCAAGTTTTTCCGCAATAGGAGGTAACCAGTAACAACTGAAATCATAGATGATCCAGTCTAATGGATAAGTAGTAACAGAATTTTCTAGAAAAAGTTTCATAGGATCTTGTAAACCGTCGTAGGCCTTCTTTAGAAGATCAAACCCCATACTAAAGCCTACGTCGGTTGTGGCTTCAGCATTTGGTGGTAAGTTTTCAACTCGAGGTAACGGAAGAGGGACTAGAGTGATCAAAGGGGCTAGGTTTTCAGGGATGTTTGGAAGGCGTTTGAGGTTTCGAGGGGTTGAAACAAAGAAAATATGGTGTCCCTTTGTAGCTAAGCGTTTGGAGAGCTGTAGGAAAGGTAGCATGTGACCGAATGCTAGCCATGGGAACATTACTATGTTGAGCTTCTTATTGTCTTCCATGGTTCTGGTATGAGAGATTTCTGTATTGTTTGTTTAGCATTTACCCCAGATAGCTCGGTCGTTAGCTTATACATTCATTTTTGGAGGTCAACGATCGATGTTACTTTCACCATATTCTGTTTAATATAGGTGACAAGTATTTTATAATGGATAAAATATTATTATTACTAATTTTGTGCATGTGCAAATCCACATATTCATAATGGTAAGCTTTATTAATAATGACTTATGTAACATTTCTTTTTTAAAATTTTAAATTTGTTTATTATATACCCTTAAAATTGTTGTTTGTTACATAAATATTTTTTATATTAATATAATTTTACATTATTTGATACAAATTAAAAAAAAAAAAAAAATCATAGAATTGTGTCAAGTGTCGTATTTGGTAATTATTTTAGTATTCCCTCCGTCCCCTAATACAAAGCCTTATTTCCTTTTTGGATAACCCAAAATACAATGCCTCTTTCTATTTAATAGATTGTATTTTTTAACATTATTACCCTTTTTTTTTTTATGAGTTGTCATTTTTTTTCCATTACTTTTTTGCATTTTTAACTTCAATTTCTAACACTTTCTCTCTCTATCTTTTCAATTATTACCAACTACTTTTTTTCTTCTATCTATCTCTCTCTAACCCCACATGCACATATGTACTTTTAATCAATTTTAGAAAAAAATGACTAGAATAATCCCAACTTTGCCTTATTCGCTCAAAATAATCCCAACTTTCAATTATTTTTTTAATAATCAGAACTTTGATATCAATTTACTCTCAATGGTTCCAAGTGACCTGTAACTGGTTGAATAAGTAAGTTTTTTTTTTTAAAGTTTATTTACACGTGTCACCACGTGATTAGTCAAAAAATACTAATTAACTCTTAAAAAAGTGTTATTTATTAATTAACACTTAACTACTCAATAAAACTAATTAATTTTTTAAAAAATAATAATTTAAAAATAATTATAAAAAAAAAATAAAAAAACCACCACCAGCAGCCACCCTCCCTACCCCGCCCAATCCAGCCCTTTGCCCCGCCCAGCCCTCCGCCCTCGCATCGGCGCTGCCCTCACTCTACCCCCTGCGTCGCCCCTAAACCACCATACCCAACAATGGCGAGATGCCGAAATCAGCAAGATCCTCGATCATTTTTTCACCTCTACTCCCCACCAATTTCAACCTTCGTCATCTCCATTACGCCGCCACCATCCGATTATTCTCCGCCAGCTGCGCTGCCCGCGTCAAAGTAGAGAAAGCTCTGAATTGCAGCATTTGATTATTGTGCAAGGGTTTCGAAAGTGGAGGAGGGGCAATTGAGGGCTTTTTGCGGTGGAGGAGGAGTTTTTTAGGGGTTTTCGGGGGAGGGAGAGGGGTTTCGAGATTGGGGTAATGGTGGTTTAGGGGGCGGCACAGGGGTAGGGGCGGAGGGCCGGTGTCGACGCCGGCGAAAGCGTAGGATCTTGGCGCGGCGGGAGGGGCAGGAGGGCTGGCCAGATAGGGTGGTTGGGCTAGTGGAGGATGAAGTGATGGGTGTTTATTTTGGTTATTGAATTAATTATTTTTGGAAATATTTTTTTATTTTTATTTTTATTTTTATTTTTTTGACCAATTACATGCCGACGCGTGTCAGGTAACTTGTTGTAACAAGTTAGATGACCAGTTGGGACTATTGGTACCAAATTGATATAAGTTCAGATTATTAAAAAATAATCCAAAGTTGGGATTATTTTGAGCGAATGAGACAAAGTTGAGATTACTTTTGTCAATTTTTTCTCAGTTTTAAAGAATTTACAACTTTCTTATTTCTCGCGCAAAAACCAAAAGAGGCTTTGTATTAGGAGACGGAGAGAGTATATAGTATAGATAAGGAGTAATCATGTGCATATAAATAATTTGGGGGCAAGTAATATAATATGGGGGGTAAGATCAAATACTTGTTTAAACGTTGCCACCATTACTTGTATCCACGTAGTAATATACGGAGTCATACTCTACCTGATATATATTTAGGTTAAACTATGAAAATTTTGGCCGTAAATTCTCATTAATCTTTATAAGATAACATAGTCACGTGGAATTTTGTTGAATTCGTCTTAATGTATATTTTCTTAATATCACAATCCACAGTAAACCCTTCTAGATTATGCAATGAGCATTCTTTCTAATTTTGCATCTACATACGGCTCAAAATTGATTTCATCGAGGCCCTTACGATCACCAAAAGATCCTTTTGCACAGAATTTCAGACCTCTCTTAAATAGAAAACCTGAAAAACCTGGCAGTTTGATAAGTAAAGGATTTAACTAACCAAAACCTCAAATGGACATCAGAAGACATGTTTTCAAGAGAACAAGGGTACTGAAAGTCGGAAAGACTAAATTTTTGTAGCTGCAGACAGATATGAGATTCGTGACACTTTGTATATAATTTCATCAAAATCATATGTGACCGTTGTGTGCCTCTTTCAAGAATTACATAAGAAGGCTCATTTTCAGTCAGATAAATATTACACTAGATCAGAATTGGTAGAAAAAGAAAACAAATAAAGTTTATCATATGAACCAAATCAAGTTGATGCTGCTTTCTTCTTAGGCTTTTTCTTTTTCTGCCTTCTCTTGTTACGAAATTTTGGCTTCTTTGCGATCTGTAGAAGACGATTACCCTTGGTAATTATAGTTGACAAGCGCACTTTAGGGCGCGCTTTAGGGCATATTTTAGGATGATTTTGGATGTATTTGGGGCCGCTTTGGCCGATTATTACCTTGTTATGCTTACGTTCCCCATATTACGTGCTTCACGGGTTTTCGGTTTGTTTTTGATGTGTTTTCAGGTAATGTCAACCGAGTTTAATCGGATCCCGAGCCCTTGATGCGTAACCGAGCTAGCCTTGACCGGAGTCCGAGGAGTTAAGGAAGTTCAAGTGCCGTGCATTGATTACATAGCACAGGCAGCACGGCCG